CTGTAATGAGAAGGGGTGTGGTCTAATGACATCAACACCCTATATCAGGTGTGCATAATTATTAGGCAACGTCCTTTCCTTCGGCAAAATGGGTCAAAAGAAGGACTTGACAGGCTCAGAAAAGTCAAAAATAGTGAGATATCTTGCAGAGGGATGCAGCAGTCTCAACATTGCAAAGCTTCTGAAGCGTGATCATCGAACAATCAAGCGTTTCATTCAAAATAGTCAACAGGGTCGCAAGAAGCGTGTGGAAAAACCAAGGCGCAAAATAACTGCCCATGAACTGAGAAAAGTCAAGCGTGCAGCTGCCAAGATGCCACTTGCCACCAGTTTGGCCATATTTCAGAGCTGCAACATCACTGGAGTGCCCAAAAGCACAAGGTGTGCAATACTCAGAGACATGGCCAAGGTAAGAAAGGCTGAAAGACGACCACCACTGAACAAGACACACAAGCTGAAACGTCAAGACTGGGCCAAGAAATATCTCAAGACTGGTTTTTCTAAGGTTTTATGGACTGATGAAATGAGAGTGAGTCTTGATGGGCCAGATGGATGGGCCCGTGGCTGGATTGGTAAAGGGCAGAGAGCTCCAGTCCCACTCAGACGCCAGCAAGGTGGAGGTGGAGTACTGGTTTGGGCTGGTATCATCAAAGATGAGCTTGTGGGGCCTTTTCGGGTTGAGGATGGAGTCAAGCTCAACTCCCAGTCCTACTGCCAGTTTCTGGAAGACACCTTCTTCAAGCAGTGGTGCAGGAAGAAGTCTGCATCCTTCAAGAAAAACATGATTTTCATGCAGGACAATGCTCCATCACACGCGTCCAAGTACTCCACAGCGTGGCTGCAAGAAAGGGTATAAAAGAAGAAAAACTAATGACATGGCCTCCTTGTTCACCTGATCTGAACCCCATTGAGAACCTGTGGTCCATCATCAAATGTGAGATTTACAAGGAGGGAAAACAGTACACCTCTCTGAACAGTGTCTGGGAGGCTGTGGTTGCTGCTGCACGCAATGTTGATGGAGAACAGATCAAAACACTGACAGAATCCATGGATGGCAGGCTTTTGAGTGTCCTTGCAAAGAAAGGTGGCTATATTGGTCGCTGATTTGTTTTTGAATGTCAGAAATGTATATTTGTGAATGTGGAGATGTTATATTGGTTTCACTGGTAAAAATAAATAATTGAAATGGGCATATATTTGTTTTTTGTTAAGTTGCCTAATAATTATGCACAGTAATAGTCACCTGCACACACAGATATCCCCCTAAAATAGCTAAAACTAAAAACAAACTAAGAACTACTTCCAAAAACATTCAGCTTTGATATTAATGAGTTTTTTGGGTTCATTGAGAACATGGTTGTTGTTCAATAATAACATTATTCCTCAAAAATACAACTTGCCTAATAATTCTGCACTCCCTGTATAATCTGACTGGTATGCAGTCAGATTATATAAAGAGAAGAAAGTTTTGGTACTTACTAAAACTGGGTATGTAGGTTTCTGGCTTCCTGGACAAAGAAAGAGTGTCCCCATTTGACCCCTGTGAAAGAATGTACAATTATTTCTTTAAATGGTAAACATTAAGTATAAAAGGTAAAACAAGTGTCATAAAAACAAGTGCTGCTGTCTGATAATCATCTCTGGGGTTTCAACAGGGAAGCATTCACAGTTCAGCACATCTTTTTTTCAGCCACAGTTGACAGTTCTAGCAATTCTAGGCCAATTATGAGACTCGCACCTACTCTGCCACTTCACATTGTGCTTTTCCTTGTGTGAAATTGAAAAATAACTCCATCAAAAACACAGACACACACTAGATCACTAAATGCTTTCCTCCTGCAGAGAAAAACATTTAGTGATGTCCATAGGTTCCAAGCTTTGAGCAGACACTGACATGCTAAACCTTTTATAACTATAGTCTGTCCAGTTATTTCTGATCCTGCTAAAATGACTGTGGAAAAAAATGTTTGTAATTCCTAAAGGATGAAGTCTACACTGCCAACTTGATTGCTTCATTTCAAATACACTGTGGTGGGTTGGAGATGGAAAAAAATTACAAAAATGATGAACCTTGTCCAAAGGCTAACTATAACGGGGACCTCAATGTAATGTCATTCACTCAACAAAGGGACGCAGGAGATATTTAGTCAGCTGGAAACATCCTGCTTACGGTCTTTCTGCTACTCTAAAGTTTAATTTGGTGTATGATGTCCACTGTTCACATTTAAGTTTTAAGGTCACAACGCAACCTTAGAAAGATGAATAAAGACTGCTTTGTTTTTTGTGTGTTTTTTTGTATTTCAACCACTCAGATAAAACAGTGAGGCTGAAATTAGTTCCGCTGCCTATAATCTGATCAGCACTCATAGCAGAGCACTTGGCATGATTGCCATCAACAGTGGAGCAGTCAATAGGCCATGTTTTGCAAGCATAACTCTGTGTTATTACCAATTATGTTTCACGATCACTTCAGTAACTGTGCTATCTGGTAATGGGGTTGCTGGGAAACAGACACTGCTGTAAACGCACGGTTTCTCGAATACAGGCTCTGAGCTGGATATTAGTTCCCAGAACAAAACACAGTCAATTGATAACTAATTTTAGAAAAAGCCAGGGGATTATTAAAATAAAGCTGGTAATGGCTTAATAAGTTCTTGTAGTTTGTTAGGTTACAAATGACATGTTCTCCTTTCCTTCCTTCAAACAGGTTGAGAGCTACTGTCGCAAGACTTGTACTTGAAACTGGGCGCTCATCCTTGCAGCAATGGTGTCACTATACAGGAAAAATGAGTCATCTACTGTATTTCCTACAGGAATAGTACCAGTGAGAGTCTATCCATTTATCCGTGGTTATAAAGAACTAAGAGCCAAATTAATTCACCGATCTTAGTCTATTTTCATACTCCAAGTCTTGGAAAACATTATTTTCTTCAAAGAGCAAAAAAAAAAAAAAAAAAGGGGGGGGGGGGGTGTTAAGGCAGTTCTAAAAGAAGACGTGTGCAAGGATGTATTAAAAAAACTTACAAAATGACACACAGAAGCAAAACCCTTTCTGCTGCTCCTCTTAATCACATACTGCATCATGAGAGCTATATCTATATTTAGGCTTTGTCCTCAAAACTGTCTCTGAAGAAAAAGCCACCTCTAAAATGTCTTATAAATCTTTGGAAGGCTGCCTCTAGTTATCACTCATCTCACTAAAAAAATACTGGTTTCTGATAATGCAAACATTTATGTTATCTGCAAGCTAAGCATGAGTAAAATAAGACAGACAACAAGGACAAAAATAACCACTCCTTTCATGTAGTGACTGCAGTTACTGGCTCATTGGGGGAGAAATCAACATGAACTGCTTTGATACTCAGTAGTTTAAAGGAAAATATTAAAAATATTCCTTTGTTTAGGCAGTCAACAGATGAGCAATCATGCCCTAATGTGCAAAACTGAAATTTGCTTCATTAATATGAGTCAAAATCATCTGTTATTGGGGAAAATTAACTGGCGATAAACCAGATAATTCCTCTAAACTATGTCTTATTTTGACATGGTGAGAGAGAAAAAGCAAACAGGTATTTAAAAACAGATGCTAAATCATTGCAAGTTATCCAAATGGCATAATTATCATAAAAGATTATTGAGATTATCCCCAGTGTTGATGAGCTCCACCTGTTCAGTGCACTTTCCGTTGGGTGTACTGCATTGCTGTTGGTCATTCTCAGTGGACGAGAAGCTCGACATCTCCCAGGGTAGTTTGTTCTTTCCTTTGCCCGCGCTGACAATCCTCCTTTGAAGTGGAAGGTCATCGGTGAGGGAGCCTAAGCTGCCATAGCCATATAATCTGTCACAGTCTGGTTCTGTTCTGTGGCTCCTGGCACTACTTATCCGCCCTCCATTCAACACCCAGTCTAAATCAGCTCCAGAACCATACTGTGGTGAGCACCGCTGGCCCGATTTGGGCACCACCAAGCCGTACTCCACTATACCTTCCGAGGAGAGTTTTGGAAGTATGTGCCTTGCTCGTCTTGCCTGTACAGCTGCCATCAGACCTTCTGCATCCTCATTCAGTTCAACCATGTCAACAGCTTCCATGAGAGACGGCTTTCTCCGTGCATCAAGGCAATGGTCAAAAACAGCAAACAGCTCGAGGGCGGCATGTCGGACCCTCCTTTTGCTGTCTGCCAGGTATGGCGCAACCTCAAAGCAAAGCTTGGGGATGCTGAAATCTTTCCTAGGATGAGTGAGCATAGCTGCCATAATGATGTTAAGGACATCTTCCCGAACCCTGGAATTCTTGTGTTTCAAGTGGCCAATTACAAGATCCAATACTTGCTGGGGTGGAATAGTTTTCATCAGCTGTCGAAACACATTCAGGTATTCATTCCTGGTGACAGTGCGAGTATCCCCTAAAGCCTTTAGGGCGACTAAGACTATATGTTTGAAATATTTGTCTACAGCTGTATCTAGCTTCCGAATTAACAAGTTTAAAACTTGCAAGGTGCCAGAAAACACCTTAAAATTACTATCGTCGAGAAGTCGCGGGAGAAAATTTATAAACGCCTCAATGCCAGCAGAAGGGACTGACTTAATGTCCACTTCTGAGAGGATGTGTTTGAGCTCCTCCACCCCATTTGTGCGATTCTGGTAATTCTTCACATCCAGAAGCTGCTCCTGTAACTCCTGGGTGATCAATCCAGGTATCATTATTGGTACTCTTTTGGTGGATTTGGTCAAATTTTAGAATCCAAGGAAGCAAACACAATCCTGCAAGGACAGTAATGCTCCTCCTCTTTACTTGGTGCTTTCATCCTGAGTGGTTGATGATGGAAAAACCACAGTCCCGTTTGTCAAGCTGTGAATGCAAAATATAGAGAATATAGAGAATTAACAGTCAAGAAAGGGCTTAGCGGTTCCTGTAACACCGCATTAAAATATTTAGCAAGGCAGAGCAACATAACGGTGTATGTTTTTAGCGAGAGTCTCCTAGTGCTCCAGATCGATCACCATGATACGGTAGATAAGGGCGAAGGAACACAACCACTTGTGGCTCTTGGAAACGTAGTTACCACAAAAATGGTTACGACAACCTTTACGTTTGTATGTTACATTATTTCTGCTTTTTTTTTAAATAACTAGTTAGGCTTTGGAAGTGTGTCGATTGGAGCTTTAGCCTGTTATTTGCTACAAAGTAATGCCTTCAATTGACTTACAATTAAACGTTGATCACACGTTACCGCTAAGCAGCCTAATTAGCGAAGCTACAGAGAATCTTAGCTTACTACAACACCACTGAAATGGTGCTAAGCTAACTCGCTGCTCCGCTATTTTTTTCCGCCGTTGTATGCTCTGTGTGGCTGGGCTAGCAAAGTTAGAAAAACAGCAAGAAAACAGACCTTGCATTTTCTCCCGGTCCTCTTCGGCAACGCTGGGCGACCCTATGTGATATTTCGTCGTCCAAATTTCCATGACATACTGCGGACGCTACAGTTCTCTAAGTGCAGACATTTCCCTGGCTGTTTTAGCTGACGTCTGGAGTGTTGAATGTTTGGAAGCTACAGAGGTATTCACCTCGAGAAGAGCCCCCCTCCCACCCCGTTACTTCACACACCGAAGCTGCAAAATGGCGAATACATGTCGCAAACTAACTGAGCGCTTCCATGGAGACGCGAGCACCAGGCTCCTCCAGGCGGCATCGTCGTCACGGAGCTGCAGCCCAGACTGAGACGTTACAAGGAATCTGAGGTTAAGACTCAAAATAGACGGTGATTATAAATGTGATTATGTGATGCGGGAAAATCAAAGTATTTTACATCTAGTTTTCTTCACTATATATATTCAGCACGTTTTGGAGTTATGTAACTTCCTGACAAAAGTTTAATGTCCATATTTATGTAAATAAAATTTAAAAATTAAACAATACGTTATGGCATGAATATAAAGTGCTGCATTGTGTTACATATAGCACACACCCATGTTGGCATAAAATGTAACTCTAAAATAACATTTTAAGTTATTTATCCAGTTATTTTTTGGTCTCTTTGTTGAACACTAAAACACACACGCACACACACATTCACACATATTACAGGTATACTTTCTTTTCTTGGTATTTATTTATCACTGTGTAAAAGAATGTTTACTATTTCATTTTTTTTGTATTCACAAAAATTTAAACTAAACTAAAATGAAAATGTATAGAAGTTTCTTTATTCTAAATATGGACTATTTTATGCCCCATAACATGTCAGTTATAACTGCTGGTGAGTCGACGTTATTGTTATGCAAATCTATCATGAACTGATAAATTGCGAGGCACTGGTATAAACTAGACTACACAGATTATTAATAACATAATAACAAATAGATTATTATATAAGGTAGCTTTAAAAAGCTATCATCTTAAGTTTTTCTGATATTATCTTGTACCTTAAAAAAACTAATCAGTGGAAAATTGTCAGGGCTCTGGGCTGTATTTCTAGTGTTTTTGAATTGTGACTTGTGTGCATTGGTGCATCATATCTTTATTCTCTTCCCCCTCCTGCCCCCCCCC